AATATCAAACCATCGGGCCGGGGTGTGTGCGCCATTGCTACATCTGTCTGGTTTTTGAGAAGATTTTAAAGATTTTCTGTATATATTCTTATGTAAAACTTGATTTTGTTTGTTTGTTTGATGTTATAATGTCCATCTCGAGAATTTTTCATTCGTATGTAGACGTCACCACTTGCCAGTGGAGGGCTGCAAATTTAGACCTGTACTTGGCACTTAAGGTCTTTAAGCAGTGAGGGATCATTTTCGTGCCAGCACCTCGAAATTGAACTTACGCTATGTAACGAAGCTTTCACATACTGTACGTGTACATAAATTGGCGTATTCAAAATTTAGCGCAATCACTGGGAATGGAGTTGTTGGCGTAATCATGAATTAGCGCTACACATGTCAGTATCGTGTATTGTATTTATAAATGATTTCTTAGCGATATTCATGAATTAGCGCATCGGTTACAGTAAGTATAATCTCTTCTGACCCAGTACCTCTTGAAAAAAATTACACAGATTTTTTTTCCTAGATATTCTATGAAAAACTTTGATCACCTATTGTAACCACACCCTTCCCCCAAGGAACGCGATCTGAAAAAAAGTAGGAAAAAGAATTCAATAACGTTGATAAAGGTCTTGCTATGGTAAAGGAACAAATGATGGGCATCGGTAAAAAAAAAAACCTCTAAATTGCATCAATTAACCAATATAGTCATCCAGCCTCACATGAAAAAAAAACTTTATCTACACTTTATAATGAAGCTTTCACATTAGTTTCATTTTTTCTGACACAATGGTTCATGAGAAGATTTTCTTCAGATGTCACTAAATGTTCACTAATTCTTAACTACTTCCCTCGAAAGAGGGCATGGCCCTTCATTTGAACAAACTTGAATCCTCTTTATCCAAGGACGCTATGTGGCAAGTTTGCTTAAAATTTACCCAGAAGCTCTTGAGAAGAAGCTGAAATTATGAAAAGTTTTCAGACAGAGGGACCGTCAGACAAAATGTAATCAGAAAAGCTCACTTGAACTTCCAGTTCAGCTGATCTAAAACTGTCAACCCCAACACCAGTCATATCGGCACATGATTGTATATAAAATAAACGCAAAAAAATAATTTCCAAATAATCATTACTACTGAACAAAAAAAATACATGTATTCAATCTCCAAGTACATATTACAAGAAAAAAGAATAGGCTGATTTTTCAGATATCTCAAGAATTATGGTACCTTGACATATCATAGTGATGTACATCAATCCTGGACACAATTATTTGACCAAAAAGTTTTCTCCTTACAGTGTTACAAGTTATGGTGTCTGTCTCCTCCGTGCGTGTGTATGTGTGTATTTGTCAAACTGTCTTTCCTTTCTCAAGTAAATATTCCTCAAAACAACATATCGACGACAATATATGCCGACCTTGACTGTACATATTGACGCTGACGACAATATGTGCTGGTGCTTGACTGTACATTTTATCGTCCATTATGCAGGAGGAAAAGAAGGCCCGTCTCGGTACATATTGTCGCCGGCGACAATATGTACCGATGGACGACAATATGTGAAGTCAGGTTAGGTACATACGAGGGGTTATCAAAAAGTTCGTGGACTAGCGTCATAAAATTAAAACCGCTTTAGGTACATCAATGAATTTTTACACATTTAGTAAGCATCATCTTTCCTATCTGTAGAATAAACCATAAATCATAATTTTTATTTTTTAATAAATTGTTAGTGTTTTTGTAAGCAAAGGTATGTCCAGGCGGCGCAACCTCTAATATGACGTTTTTTTTCTACCTGAGTGTAACTGAGAAAAACTCTTTAGATATGAGTATTTGTCATCAAAAAATCTCGTTAATTCAGGCATGTGGTACGACACATTTGTTCAGTAAAATTTGCAATTTTTACCCCATTCTGTAATTTCTATGAAATTTTATCGTAAATTTTATAAGGAGTGTCCAAACAATTATGGGCTTGAAAATAACGTCAAGAAGGGGGAGGGGTTTCTTTTTCAAACACTCTATATATAGAGTTTTGCTCCTGGAAAAACTGGTATTGACCTAAGGAATGTTTAAACTGGCTACAGAAAAATAAAATGCATCCAGAGTACTTGTTTTTAATGCCCAAAAAGATTCAGAGAGATGAAATATGCACAGTTAGTGTCGATTTGTAGTCAGGGTGTCAAAAGTCAGTCACGTCGAAAAGTGACGTTGATCCTGTGTGGTAGAAATTGAACTCCAACAAGCTAAGTATTCTGGCATAATCAAGTGAGGATCTTTCCCCATATAAAGATCCATTTACAATATTATATGCATTGAAAACAGCTGCTCATGACATTGTAAATTCATATAAATAAGACGGGTTTAAGTCCTTACTTAACTCCAGGTAATCTCATCAAGATAAATGTATGAGGTAGAGAGAGCGGACCTTAAGAAACAATGGCGTTAAGCGGACGTCATGACACTAAACGGCGACAGCGCCGGGTGATCACATAAAGTCTTTTTAATTTTAGAATAATTTGGCAAATTATCGACGTATCAAGCTAAAATTTTCAACATTTCTTAAACTTTTGTTGTTTTATGTTCCGCATAAATTTTGTAAGCAAAGACTACATATTATTAATTTTATCGCGTCAGTCCACGAACTTTTTGATAACCCCTCGTATTGTCGCCGACGACAATATGTACAAAACGACGATATGTACCGTCACAGGACTACCTACATGTATCTTCTGAAACTGATTTCTTTTCAATGAAGCAAAATAATAAGTCATCATTTGGAATCTGAAACGATTAAACAATTCTTAATTTTAACGTATAGAAGTTTTCCGTTTTTGTTTCATTTTACACAAGAAATGATTTCAGACATTACTTAGTGTCTTGATTGTAAATAACAAAATTTTGACCTGCTCCGTGATCCGATCTCGCATTTTTTAAGTCTAAATAAGTTTGAAATATATGAAAGCCGATTAGGATCAATTTATGGAGAGAAAAAAAATTAAAAAAAGGCGATAACGCCTTTTAAATTTTTTTTTCTCCATAGATTGATCCTAATAGGCTTTCGCAGAAATAAACCACGATGTTTTAAAAATTTTTAATACACATCATTTGAATTTATTGTTGAAATAGGATATACATGTGTAATATGACGTTAAGTAAAAAAGTGATGGCAGTACTCCACGAACTTTCCGAACAACCCTCGTACTGTTTGTGAAATGCTCTCAAATTGAGATATATTTTACAATTAATAACCCGTAAATGCAGCCATATCATATTAAGGCTTCCCGTTCAAGTTCGAATGTTCATGTTCAAAACATAATATTGAATTGTGAGATCGATTTTGATTTTAATTTGTGACATTCGGTTATAAACTTAAACACAGAAAATTTATATAGAGGTGTTCTCTCGGCTTTATATTTGTTACTTTAAAAGTTTACACTATATCAAGTTAAAATTATCTATAACAGGCGAGTGGAAAGCTAAATTCACTTTCCAACTTAAATTTACTTAAATAGTAAAGACTTGATTCTAAGATAAAGAATTTGTTTCTCTTTTCTATCAGATATAGTAGCTCGTAGAAAGCCGAGTGGCATTCTTCATTTATGCAGAGCTAGTTCCCCCAGTGCAAAATTGTATGTGAAATATTAAAATATATATATGCTATGATACATGTATCACATGACTGTCGATCACGTGACGGTCATTTATATTTTTTGAAGTCTCACATAAATCGCTTCTGCGCAGCCGATTAACACAAATGAATTATTACTAACTTTTTGTTATGTAAGTGAACCTTTCGGATCCTTGTGTACCGGAAATGTGCTTGCATTACTTGGATACAGATTATTTCATGAGAAGTTCAACTTACCCGCACATTTGAGGATATTTTCCACTCAGTATCGTAATCTGTATCAAAACAAAGTCATCGCTCAACAAAAGCATTCGTCCCAAGCAAGATTCAATCAGAGGACAAATTTCTCTTACAGATTTCCACAAAAGATCACAAATTAATCCTCATTAACCCTTTTACACACATACATATATTGACACATATAATAAATTCTACCTCTAACCACAGGTATAACACAGAGTACATTTCCAAAGTATATTTTTGTAGCATTTAGAACACGCTGAATTTCAATGAAGGGTATTTAAGTGAAGTATTTTAAAATAATCGGAAATAATTTAATTCTAGTTGTAACGCTGTATTTGATTGGATAAAAAATTTACTTTATATCGTATAAAATGGGTTGCCTACGACACAATGACTTGCGTCAAGACGTATCGATCCGCCTGACGTTACATTCAAATTTTGTACAAATTGAAGTCATCTTTTTAAGAACACGCTTCGCTTCGCGGTTTATAAAGCGTAAACTGCCCCAACCCACTTTATACCGTATAAAATGGGTAGCTATTAAATTCATCCTTAAATAATTTAGTTTTAACACGTCCTTTGATTGGATACAAAATTTAGTTTATATCGTATAACATAAGTTGCGTACGTCACAATGAATTACGTCAAAAAAGTATTACTCCGCTTGACGTTACGTTCAAAATATGCTCAATTTGAAACCATTTTTGGAGGAAAAATTGTGTCTTATTGTCTACACTGAAATTAAATTATAAGGAATGAAGCTTATTTTAATCTATCTTGGGGCAGTTTACGCTTTTCTATAAACCGCTTCGCGGTTAAAATAAGCTCCATTCCTTAAATATACAAAATGGATTTCATTTGTAAGACACTGCCCCGTAAAGTTAGTTGTATTATAGAGGGGAAACAGTAAGTTACGCCGATTGAACCCGAATTAACCCCGCAAAGGGGAAAAACTTTAAATGTGAATAAAAGTATGACAAATCAAAAAATATTTATAGCACTCAAACAGAGCAAACTGACCCTTTTTTAAATTCACAGATTATAGAAATGAATTGATTTTGTGTTAAATTTAATGATGATTGAAAAATATTGACTGTTTTGAATATGAATTTTAATAATAGTATTAAAATTTTATCAGGTATGTTACACTGGTATTCGTATTGTTGGTTCGAGCATTCGTTATGTGTTTGGCTGTTACGAAGAACGTGTAAGTAGCATGTTTAAGAACTTATTTTATAACTTATTGTCATAACTACATATATTATACTTTCATGTAAATTAGTTGAATCTGATTCGTCGAGAAACATTTGTTAAAAAATTCTATTACCCGCTGAATAATGAAGCCACGCCCTACAGCGTAGCAACAGTCAAAATTGCTTGACGACGGGTGATATTCTAAAAAAAATTGTGACTGCGCAGAGTTAATATGTATTTGTGCATGTATAAAACATTCAGTATAATATAATAAATATTGCATGTAGTTGAGTGTAACATTGAAAATTTTCACTCCTCGAAAACCATTGTCAACCTCGGCTGTGCTTCGGTTGACCGTTTAGCTGAGCATCTTAGGTTAAATTTTCTTTCACGTCAGTTTTTCGATAGTTTTTTTTTTTCGGGGGGGGGGGGGGGTCAAAAGTATATGCCGAATTTCAACCAATCCTTGCAAAATTAGTAAAGGATAGTTAGTTTGTGGGGGGGGGGGGGGGGGGGGTCAAGAGTATATGATGTATATCGACCAATCCTTGCAAAATTAGTATTATATAAATAGTGCACGTTTTTGAGGGTAACAGTTGAAATTGACACCCCAAGGAAAACCATTGTCAACCGACGCGTCAGCGGAGGTTGACAATGGTTTTCCGAGGGGTGTCAATTTCAACTGTTACCCTCAAAAACGTGCACTATTTATTTTATTATACTGAATGTCTTATTGATTTCGGATGTCATAAAAAAAATTCGGAGATCGTCGTTAAGTTCACGCTTAGAAAGCTCTCAAACTCCCCGCTTCTATTTTTCTCAATAAGAAAGCTTCGAAAAAGATTTACCAACCTCTTTATTGTTTGTTTGCATCTCAAAAAGTCCTTTATCTTCTGAAGTTTGCACTCACAAGGATGTTTCGTCTGTCGTTTGTTGTTTTCAAGTAAGCTACTTCGGACTCAAGCTTTTATTGACGTCGTTTATTCGGCTTCTTTCAAACGCACAACTGACGCGCATGATTTGAACGCATGTGATATTTTCGTAATGTTACCCGTTGTCAAGTGTGTTGCTAACGCTGTGGGTAACATTACGGATTGTTAAATGCATCTAAACCAATCAGATTTTAGTATTTAACATGAAAGTATAATAAATGAAAATATATTTCTGCTTAAATAAGCGGGGATAAAAAGACAAAACTCGTTGGATAAAGAATTTGAAAAAAGAAAATTGATTCATTTTTATCACCCCAAAGACTAGTTTTTCTTTTAAATATAATATGTTGACGGTGTGACCGTTGGGGGCGAGCGCATTGTTCACTTAATTTAAAGATCCGCCTCTTCAAACCGCACGAGACATTTGGAACGTCTAGACTGTGACGTCACATGACGTCGTATGTTAGCTGCATTTCCAATTATAAACAAGTTTTAAAAACGCACAAATTTAAACAAAGAACGTTTAATCTACTATCTGTATGCAATATCCACTAAATTAAGGTGAGTTTATATATGTGAATTTTTAGTTGTTGTTACCCCGTGAACGAAGTTAGCAGCGAGATCAACAAGCGATGCATTGTGGGTCCAGAATTACTGCGGAAAAAATTCTATTGAAAGAATGTGCAGTAGTCCGAATTTCCTCTTCGCCCAGGCGTTGTCGTTAGAGCTCGCAGTGACGAGCGGCGCTTCGCGCCGCTCGCTGCGCTCGCTATTAATGTACATATTTTACTTTCCAGAAAAACTCTTTAAGGTATCGTTGTAAAACTGTCTTTGCTAATAACAAAAAAAACAACAAACTTTTATTATAATAATCTACATGTTTGAATCGAAATCAAAGGATATTAACACTACTCAGAAATCTTCCTTATTCTTTGAAAAAATGGTGACACATTTATAATTTTATGACAAATCTCAAACAATAAGAAAAACTTGAAAAAAAACTCGTAGCCTTTGCAAACATCTCAACGTTCGTAAGGAACAGGTCTGTCATAAATATTGAGATGATATTTGAAAATAGCCGACAGAAACAAAAAAGGAAAATTTTATAAAATCTCTATGGTATTCAAAAGGTATATATATGCGTTTTCCAACTCTTGTGAGATAGAGATGAAATTCAACAATCAGATTAAGTGTGTATTGTTTGATAACTTTCCATCAATTCTTAATAATATCTTTTCATAAACTATACGATGTTTGTTAGATTTGTCTTGCAATGATGGAGAACGACAACAAGAACTCCACGATTCATCGACCTGGAAGAGTCATTTATGGTGATCGGGGTACTACTATATGTGATGGTTGCTGTAAGGGATATAGATGCAACGCAGAAGACTGTTTCATAATCAAAAAGAGTAGGTATAACTTCCTGTTTATGAGGCCTCTTCCTTAGCTGGTGACATTCTTTGTGCAAAAATCTTCAAAAAGCATATTTCTCTTACAGTACATATATAAAATCTTGCAAAATCGAATCATTCGACTTTGGTTTACGACCATGTGGTAAATCTCGACACTAATATTTATTAGATGGGTGTACATGTATCTTGTTTGTTTGCCCTAATGTGAGGTTTGTATAATATTTTTCAAATGTCCTAAAAATTTTCATGGTGATATATGTTTTACAAATGAATGGAGTATATGTCATTGTAACATGATTCTTTTCAATGATTTCGGTAAAGATAACCGTATGTTGCTTCTTAAAACTGAGAATCACAATAATCTGAATCTTCTTCTAATGAATATGTATGTGAGTACACGGCATCACTATATTCTGATTTTAGAAAAGTTGATCTAACACCAAAGACCTGTCTAACCATCCTTTGTAAAGAATAATGCAATCCATTGCATGAAAGCGGTTATGTCCTTACCTTTTGTATGAGAGAAACTTAACAGAGAGAGAGAGATGCAACTTTTTTCTTTCCGTGAGGATAAGATATGTTTAAATAAAGTATAAGATAAATATTCAGCATATAACAAGGCTAGCTTTAAACAAAATCTTTGATACGTCAATTCAAACAGAATTATTGACGTATCTTTATGGGAGGTTTCCAATTCACTGTAACGAGTTGTATCTCCCTAGAGTATTCGTCATGACAAAATAATTATATCGTTCAGTAGCCTTGACTAGGTCATCTACAGGAATATGTACAGTGTATTTCGCTGAATTTCCCACTCTTATCAAACGATTTGCATTTCATTTGATAGAAAGGACTAAAGGCATTAAAACTTTGCAATTCACTGTGATTATCTTCCTAGGAAATTATTCATCTTTCGTGTTCGTCTCCTTTAACCGGATGCCCAGATTTCTCCTTAATCTCCACCGAACAGTTGAGCGTATGTTTGAACAAGATCTTCCTTGTCTTCATGGAATCATGAATAAGTTCTTACTGCTTCTAATACCATGGGATATGTAGCATATACTCTTTTTTGTACATGTTCACCAGTAATATTTCCATTTTAAATTAGCTCTAAATAACGGACATTGCTGTGTCAAAAAATAACAACATTGTGAACAAGAGGAAAATATCAACATTTATTTTCTTTCAAAGTAAACTGTTTAAAAATATTTTGTTTCAAAAAGTTCCGATGCTTTCAGTGTTGCCTTTTATTATTCCAGTGTATCAAGCTACTCTTTCTTTAACCTATACAAATAGAATGAAAAGTATTGATTTTATCGAGTCATCATATACATGTAAAGACCTGTAGAATTGCCAAACACAAATAATTCTATGTTGGAATTTTTAATATATTAGAATATAAAATCTATCCAATAAAATTAGGTTTTTCTCATATAGAGAAAGTTTGAAAAACTTTATTTTGTTTGCTTAGATGTGATGAAGAATTATGCATGTAAATATATTGAAATGAATCAACAATATCATTTTTTTTTTTCAATTTGTGACTTCACTCAGAGAAAAGCTTTCAGTATTATTTCAGTACCTTAAAATCACAAATGTCAAACAGAAAAAGTTTCCTAGGTATGAAGAAATCGTCATCATCGTCTTCATCATCAACAGCCTCATTAATATCATAAGCCTGGAAAAAAAATATAGCATATGAGAGATTTTCTACAAAATTGTGTCATGTGGTAAATTTTAAATTTACTGTGTGATAGTAAGTACAAAATCTACAACAACTTGTAAATTTTGTATTCATTGCCACCTGGCAACATAACACATATATCAAAAGCAATGCCAGACTCAGTTTTAAATTCAAATATCCTTTGTAAATGTGTTTTCCTATGGTTTTTGAATTGCTTACAGTATGACAGATGCTAGAAAAATTAAGTTACAGTATGACAGATGCTAGAAAAGTTAAATCAAAGTCTGCTAGATAAAGTCTTCAATACCTTTCCCTCATCGTCATTGTTAGCCACTGGCTGAAGTTTTGGAATCTCTGGATTCTCTTCATGCACCTTTGTCTCAAAGATCTGTGGATCCCTTTGGAATTGTTCTTTATCATTTACTCTAGTTTTGTTTTGTTGTTCCTTTTTATTGACTTGATCCGGGCTCTCTCTGCTTAAAAAGATAAATGTTCCAATATCAATTGATATATTTCTACATTAATTTGATTTCAAACACAACATATAAAAAATAAAACAGGAAACAATAGTTAAGGATATATATTTAGATCAATGAAAAGGGGTGTCTTAGTTGACATAAAAATAAAATTCTTCTTATTGAGTTGAAAGTAAACAAGAAATCAACACAAAAATGAAAATCAGATAATCTGAAGAAAATGGCTTCAAACAATGGCATCAATCATTACCTAAGAATATCAAAGTCTTCATTAGTTTCTTCTTTATTTTGCTTCTTTACAATCTTCTCTGTCTTTTTGTTGATAGCTTTATCCACAGGTTTTGTTTTCTACAAAAAATTGGGAAATTAAGTTTTGAAATATATTTATATATGGCAGATAATATTTTTTTTATTTTACATTTAAGTTACCTTTTTGTCAATCTAAAGACTACTAGGATTTCTTAACAGGTTTAAGGGTTTGTCAGACTTTTTTGTAGGAATTTTGAAGTATAAATGAACTAAGCAAACGTTTTAAATATATATAGCAAAAATTAGTCTTTTTTATGCTAAATAATTTGCATTGTAATACCTCATCTGTTTTCTCTTTTCCCTCGACTCTATCTGCCAACGACTTATCAAACTTAAGCATTTTCAGTTTTTCCCTCTGTAATTTTTAAAAAGGATCATTTCTCATATTGTAACACAATTTTTACATATGAGAGGGTCTTTGTTCCATTTTTTGAAAGTTTATCCTCGAAGTTTGCGTGAAAATATATATTATTTGTTAACAAATACATGGAGCAAAGACCCACTATACCTTTAAAATACATTTTATGACACAACATTCGTATCTTTCTGAAAAATACTTGGTCCATTTAGTCAAGGGTGATATCACAAACATAATTGAAATGCAACTATTCATCCGGAGTTGTGTAGCATAGTGGTTAAAGTAATAGTCTCAAAGGAAAATGATACTAAGGATTTTTATTGCTAGGGTTCGAACCCCAAGAATAATACATTGTTTTTTTTAATTTTTGCCAAGGAAGTCTTCCTAAGAAAAGTTTTGTTTGTCATGATTTCATAAATTTCAATAATAAGAACTTAACTCTAATTGCAAACTCACAAACTGAATACGATTTTTATATATCTGAAGCTAGAGACATTCTGCACGTCTTGTTTGCCCATCCCCTTTACCGGGTGTCAGTAAGTACTAAATGTACTAGACAACTTTTTAAATTTTGTATTTATTGCCATCCGGCAAATTCAAAGTATACAACATGACATATATCAAAAGCAATAATTCCGGATTCATTTTTTAAATTCAAATCATTTAGGCAAAATATCTTTTGTAAATTTCTCCTTTGGGTTTGAACTGCTTAACGGTATGACAGATGCTAGGAAAGTTAAGTTAAAGTCTGCTAGATAAAGTCTACAATACCTTTCCCTCATCGTCATTGGTAGCCACTGGCTGAAGTTTTGGAATCTCTGGATTCTCTTCATGCACCTTTGATACAAAAGTTTGTGGATCCCTTTGGATTTGTTCTTTATCATTAACTTTAGTTTTGTTTTGTTGCCCTTTTTTATTGGCTTGATCTAGGCTCTCTCTGTGTATAAAAAGTTAAACATTCCAATATCATCTGATATATTTGTATTATATTAATTTGATTTGAACCACAAGAAATCAAAAATAAAACAGGAAACAATAGTTAAGGATATAAATTTAGATCAAATGAAAAGGAGTATCCTAGTTGTCATAGAATGAAAGCTAAACAAGAAATCAACACAAAAATGAAAATCAGATAATCTGAAGAAAATGGCTTCAAATAATGGCATCAGGCATTACCTAAAAATATCAAAGTCTTCATTAGTTTCTTCTTTATTTTGCTTCTTTATAATCTTCTCTGTCTTTTTGTTGATAGCTTTATCCACAGGTTTTGTTTTCTACAAAATAAATTGAGTAATTAATTTTTTGAAAATATATATATGGCAGATAACATTTTTGTTCTTTATTTAATTTTTTATTTTACATTTAAGTTACCTTTTTGTCAATCTAAAAACTATAGGGATTTCTTAACAGATTTAAGGGTTTGTCAGACTTTTTTGTAGGAATTTTGAAGTATAAATGAACTAAGCAAACGTTTTAAATGTATATTGCAAACATTAGTCTATTTTATGCTAAATAATTTGAAATGTAATACCTCATCTGTTTTCTCTTCTTCCTCGACTCTGTCCGCCAACGAGTTATCAAACTTAAGCATTTCCAATTTTTCCATCTGTAAATTTTAAAAAGGATCATTTTCTCATATTGTAACACAATTTTTACATATGAGTGGGTCTTTGTTCCATTTTTTTTTTTTTTTTTTTTTTTTTTTGGAAAGTTTATTCTCAAAGTTTGCGTGAAAATATATATTATTTGTTAACAAATACATGGAGCAAAGACCCACTATACCTTAAAAATTCATTTTATGACACAACATTCGTATCTTTCTGAAAAATACTTGAGGTCCATTTAGTCAAAGATGATATCACAAACATAATTGAAATGCAACTATTCATCCGGAGTTGTGTAGCATAGTGGTTAAAGTAATAGTCTCAAAGGAAAATGATACTCAGGATTTTATTGCTAGGGTTCGAACCCCAAGAATAATGCATTATTTTTGTAACACTAAAATAATTTTTGCCAAGAAAGTCTTCCTGAGAAAAGTTTTGTTTGTCATGATTTCATAAATTTCAATAATGAGAACTTATCTCTAATTGCTAAATCACAAACTGAATAAGATTTTTATATATCTGAAGCTCGAGGCATTCTACACGCCATGTTCACCCATCTCTGACCG